ACCTCATTACCTTCTGGTTGGATTGTGTAATGAGTTTTACATGGGGCTGCCCATAAAAAGTATTTTGAAGCTTCAGCTGGTGCAGAAGGCAGCAACAGGAACACTTGTATATATTTCTAGATAGTGTGTCATCTCTCTTCTCTGGGAGCTACACTGGTTACCATTCTGTTTCTGAATCCAATTCAAGGCACTGATTTTGGCTTTTAAAGCCCTGTATGGCATGGGGCTAAACTATTTGACAGGCTGTATCTCCCTTATTACATCTGTGCATTCCTCCAGATCCAACGCTGGGACATTCTACAGGTGCAATCAGCTAGTTAAATTTACTTTACTTTATTGTCATTGCACATGGTACAACGACATTAAATGCCATCTTCAATGTACATTATAACTATACAAATAAAAACATTAGAGAGGAAGTTTCATTTGAACCTTAGATGGTGAGACTTTTCAGCTGGGTCCTTGCTTTATGGATCATTCTTCTCCCTCCAAAGTGAAGCTGACTTCATCCCTTTTAACTTTCCAGAAGACCCTCAACATTTTCTTGCATCAACAGCCCCCCAGAGACTGGTGATGCATTCAGATAGCTCCTGTGTAATTGACACCTGCTCTTTGCCCAATATTTTTTTAGTTTAGTGCTTTTCATAATTTTAAAACTTTTAATAATAATATTACTTCTGTCAGGATTCTGACCAGTGATCTAATGCTATCAAGAGTCTCAAGCCATCCGGCAACTTGTTTGTAAGTATTGTTTTTGTCTTTCTTGCTCACCTTTCAGAGTAGCTTGTTTGTGAAATGTGCAGCCATATAATTATGACGAATGGAAAATAAATAAATAAACAAACCATTTATTTCTCAAGCAACAGGGTGTGCATCAAACTGTTTTGGCTAAAGTCCAAGTAGGCAAAAGTTGATGCTCTTTGCCTTAGATTGGTTGAAAAGAGCCCTGGAGAACTTCGTCATGCTCAAATGTTTAGCTTCACAAGTTATAACGTATTCCCATTTTTGGGGATTCTAAAAAGATAGGGAGAGGGCCAAAAAATTCCTGTATGCCATCTTCTTCCCACAAAATAATATTCCTGCATTTCATGCCTACAGCAGAGAGTCCATGGCAGATCACTCTTTCTGTTTTTTCTCAGAAGTTGCTCAGGATATTTGAAGGTGAATCAAGCTTAGTTTATTCATTCTGCAAAGCCATGATTTGCTTACCTAAATGACAATGGGCTGAATTCTCAGACTTGCTAAGTCCAAACCAAATAAACCATATTTTTATTTAGGAAAAAAGAACTTCTTTAAGAACTAGCCATGGTGTAATATGACAGCCTAAAACTGTTAAATTTCCCCTTAATCAAGAATATCCCAGGTTATCTCCCCATTACTATTCTACTTCCTATGTGAAATAGGAGTAGCAGCTACATAGAAAGATTATTGAAAAAGGCATCAAGCAATATACAGCTGATTAAAATAATCTGACTCATCTTTAGACCCAATATAATGTTTTCTTGCACAAATTGATAACTTTCTCTTCTCAAGCAGCAGCATCTTAGCAGTTGTGAAAATGTTCAGTACTTTAGAGTGGGGGTGTTAATTGGTTAACTTCTACTGTACACAGCTTGCCAAGAACCGGATGCAGCTGGGCTGATATATAAAGAAAGAAACGGATTTCTTTTTTCCCATCCAGCATAAGCAAATATTGTTGCCTTGAACTTGGCCTGCAGCACCAGCAGATTTAAAAATAACTGCTGCAGGGTGTAGAGTCTAGCAGGGTGGAAAAGACATGTGTAGACAAATACATTTGCTTCATGGTAATTGCCTATCTCTATCTTCTTCACTTGCAGAATATTCAGGATATTAGTCCAACGGTCTTAACTGAATTCACTTCCCATTGAATCAGTGTAAGTTGACATACAAAATTGACTTTGTTATGTGAACTATTAAATCTGCAATCCAAATCCTACAACTGGTCTCCTGTATTTTCTCTTTTAATTTTCTGATCACTCAGGAACCACTTTTATGGCTAAAAAAAAGATTCTATGTCTGGGAATAAGTACTAGTGAATCAGTAAGATATTTATATAAATATATGTGCCAAATGAAGAGAATATACATATCAGAGTTGAACTGTAAGTTCTTGGTGCTCTTTAACCTTGGTTGTTGGCTTGTGAAAGTTTAATTATCCAACTAAATATCTAGTCAGTTATTTGCAAGCAAACAGCTGAATTCAGAGGGACCAAGGATTCCATAAATATATTGTTTTATACTGTTAGCTTTTTACAGGATTAGAATTTAAAGCCTCCTTTAATAGTGAAATATTTGATTCTATAAGTGGGAAATGGACTAAATCAGGTCCGGTTCTGTGTTACTAGTACCCCAAGATCTATTAAATAAAGTCTAGGGCAAAATTAGTATATTTAGAATTTAAAGCTATTAAAATTGTTTTCAATGTAAGAAAAACCCTCTTTATTGTAGGAAAAACTTGACATTTTGCAGACATTTTTCATTTCAATTTAAAACAGAAGATGAAGAGAATGTCAGTTTTTGCTAATAAAATTGGAACTCAACAATCTTGATTTACTACAAATCATTTAGAGAACTGCTAAATAAGTATTAGAAGCTACTCATTGTTAGGCACTGCCAATTCTTAATAACTTATATAAAACTAGAGAAATGTATCAATGAACAGATCTGGTGGGAAATAAATATGCTTTTAAATGAAGCTTTATGAAGCTTGTAACTTTAAAGAGATCTATTGGTATACAAACCTAAACATCCAGTTTGAAGATATAAATTTAGGGTGGGATCTCATTGAATCATTATAAGCGACACCTGTCTGTAAACCCTTTCTAAATCTTTTCATAGTTCCCGTAAAAAAAGATTGTCTTGCTTCCGATATGTCAGATATATCCAAGCTAAACTTCCTTTAATTTTGGCTTCATCAGCATAACTTGATATATTTCCCCAGTAGAAGGTATCAAATAGTTACACACAATATTTTATTTGGAGTGCTGTCCACAATAACTAGTGCTGAATTGCCCCAGGCAATTTTTGGTTCTGTTTTATTTTTGAACTGGGTTGATGGAATGATGGAGACAACTGAATCTGAGTTTTTGTCTTTAACTGTGTGTTCATATTACTTTACTTGGTCTGGTTAAAAAATCTGGATGACAATTTATAAGACAAGAAAAGAAAACTGATCATTATTTACCAACTTTGTTGTCTGTCATACAGCAGTCAAATAAATAAAAATCCCCCTTTACTTTGCGTTTTAGAAGAAGAATGGACAAAGGCCTATTTCTTTTTTTAAAAAAAAATCTGACTTCCAGTTGTTTTTCTCTGTATCAGACTTTACTCTAGTTTCAAAATGCAATGTCAACAGGCATCATTTATAGCAGGGATGTGCCACAAAAAAGAACACAATCAATTCTTTTCTTAACAGTAGATCACTGATATCAACATGCCTGGTTGCTTGGGTTAGTCAACCCAGGATAGGTTACAAACCATTTATTTCTCCTGGATTTAACAGAACTTTATCATCTGTCACTATTTTCTGCTTTTGGACCAGTCATTTTATACCAATAATATATATGTATGCTATACACATGGAATATTTTACAGAGCCTCATTATCAAAGAGGATCTTTCAGTAAGAGAATCTTACTGAAGATGAGCACATAGTCACATTAAAAACAAACACCTAATTCCTTTTTGGTTCTTTCCAGAACTTCCCTTCAGCCATACCGGTAATTGCTGAAAATTTATGGTTTAGTTTCCTATCCTTAAATTATGCTTCATATAAACATTCTTGCCTGTGGAATAATGAGCAACACTTCCTGCCTATGTGTAACAAATGCCTCAAACTAATTTACTGTTTATTGGAGCAAACCTCCAACAAATATTGAGTACCTCTATCTACCCAAAGGTTTTTTAGCCTGTGCCAGAGAACCAGGGAGTCCTTTCCTGCATTTGCAAGTTGCCTTGTCTTTCCAAGGACACATACTTTAAAAGTCTTACCTGACTTAGCTACTATTTTGCACCAACAGCTAGATTTATCTGCATAGTTAATGATTCCAAGCGCTCTGAAGGTATGCTATGAACGTGTGTGTGTGTGTGTGTGTGTGTGTGTGTGTGTGTGTGTATGTATGTATGTATGTATGTATGTATGTATGTATGTATGTATGTATGTATGTATATTTGTGCTGACAAATACAACACAAATGTAACAAAGGCAACAGTAAAAATATTGGGTTTCTGTCTGGATGGTCTCTTGTGACGAGCTGATAGATAGAGAATGGAAGCAGTAGACTTCCTCCCATATTTGGGCATACCAGGGGTTGTGACACTAAATAAACAAACAAACAAACAAACAAACAAACACACACACACACACACATATATATACATACATATTATATTTACAATCACTGTCCAATATTTCTTCTAAGTGAAAAACAGGATTAAAATGTTCTGTCGCTCTTCTGCATTTTCTTATTCAAGCAATTAAGCAATACAAAAATAAAGCATTTGACTCACCTTATTGCTTTTCCCAGTTAAGGCAATTTATTGTGAATCACATAAAGGAAAACATAAGGCTGCAATGTTACCTAGAAATTAAGTTCACACACACATCCACTGACTTGGCTATGAAGCTTTCCAAATAACTAGGTTGATTTTCACTGCCTTGCCCATTACAGTCAATGGCAATCTCAAAAAAGGAACTAAAAATGTGTGATACTCAGCCTACAAAAAGTTGCCCCCCCCCCCAAACGTAGGAATCTGCGCTATACTGAACCACTTTATTGTTATATCCAGCTCAATACTATCTGTACATTAATTTTCTTTTGTAAATATACTTAATTTGATTACAGAATTAATTTATTTAGATAACTGCATTTGTACAAGATATTGAAGATGTGAGTTGAGTTCATATCAGATTACTTGCCACAACACATAAAGCAAGTTTACCAAATGTTGAACAAATACAGTCACCGCATCTTTAACTGACCTGCTTAAATCATGAAAATTCAGCCACTGTATCGGACTTCAACTTCATATTTCCATAGCCAGCATACTATATATCTTCTTCTATAGCAATGAGAAGGAAAACAGCCTAAATATAGGTGAAATGTCAGACCACGTGCAAGACTTTACTAGCTTCTGACTCTTTGCCTTGGGGCCTCTACTGTCAGCAGTGCCAAGAAGAGAGGAGGGTGTGTTTTGAAACAGAAGAACCACCCTGAGAAAACATTTAGTAGAGGCATAAGATAGTAGCATCATAGCTCACAGCCCCACCTACTCATACAGGATATGTCAAACAAAAAAACACCTTTTCCTTCAGCTCTAGTAAATTAACTAAATTGTTTATGCTTTATATTGTGTTTTTAAGTATTCAAAGTACTTCACCTGTATTCTCTAAGAGAATGTTAGAGAATAACAGTAATCTTGTTATAAACCCTAATGAAGGAATCCAATATTATCTGTTTTTAAAGAGCCTTAAAAATCCTACCTTCAAGACTCTAAATTGCCACAGTACTAGAAAATCACATATAAAGTTTGAAGTGTCACAAATATTGAACTTGCAACAAAAGATTTGCTATTTGATTTGCACTGTTCTACTCCTATTTTTAAAAAAATTGCAAGAAGAGAAGGGAAACAGAACTAAAAAGAATGGAGACAAAGATGGAGACAAAAACATATTTCCTCTCAGTAATCATTAGAAACATTATCTGTGGACCAGCATGATTCATTTCCCCCCCCTAAAAGAACATTGGATTACGAGGAAAATTAAATACCAAAAACAAAATGAAAACAATCCTTTGATCATATCGAGTGCTTGACTTTAGTATAGAAAATATCTGTAGCTCCTCTCCCCTGAAAATCGTAAACAAAATAATAATCATTTCTAGGAACTCCTTGAAGTTTAAAAAAATTATGTAAATGTAAAGCTGTTCATACAGTAGGAATGAATCTCCCACCAGTGCTCCAGATCAAAAGTAGGACTGTATTCTTAAATCCTCATCCATTAACTAAATCTAACCTCTGCCCTGTGTACAATAAATCAAGTGCACTAAAACTAAAAATGCAATTTTTCTGGAAAAGAAACTATGCTAATTGATTAGAGCAGAAATGTATACCTTTTTCTAAAAAAGAAGCATGCAGGATCGTGGAGCTCTGTTGGAAACATTATCACTCAAATGGCAAGCAAATTCAGGGCAAAAGCTAAACGTGATTTCATTTCTTTAACAAGTATATTTAATTAATAATCTAATTATTGTCTTCTTCCATCAATTAAACATTATGGTACCATAATCATTCTGAAGGTTTCAGGGGGGCCGCTTGTAAAACTTTCAGGCAATATATGTAGCAGTAGGATCTCCGCTATGCCTCCTTAGGTCAGGCCAAGTTTTTCGAAGGACTGCAGAAGGCTACGGATCTATTCTTTCTCTCGCAAAGGGACACAACACATTGCTATTACATCTTTGTTTAGCATGGAATTAATAAGCAGCCCCTGCAAACTTAAAAACCTCCCTAATAACTTCTACTTGAAGTCAGGAAGTATACTCCCACTCATAGACTGTGTTTTTATTAGGTAGAAGATTAAGCACATTTCTAAAAGAAAACTAGATCAAATTAGAAAGGAAACGGGGCAATGGCAGGAAAGAGCTGAATTTGCTCACAAGTTCTGAACTGTGGAGTCAAACTATCAGCTCCTTTTTAGATTCCATTCTGCACCCAAGAAGTTAAAAACCACCTTTTTCTCCTCTGCAGCTACTTGTCTCCCATTAATTCCATTTAAGAGACATTACCACCTACATCTTCGATGTCCTTCTTCAGCAATATCATTTCTATTTCATCCGTTCCGTTTTCTTTGGTTTGATAACTTATTCTTACCTCTATGGAAGATTGGATCTCTTCAGCCAGATGCAAAACCCACAGCCTCCTCCAGGGAATGAGCTTGCAGACTTTTCCGTCAAATATCTTCTCCTTAAAACAAGTTGGACTTGTTCCTTGTGATACAGCTGATGCATTGGCTGGTACACCTACTCAACACACACACCCTACGTGTGGAAAGAGAAGAAGGAAGGAAGGACAGATATGAAACCATTGAACTACACAGGTTACAAGTAGGGTCAGATGAAGAAACAATCTGCAACTCAAAATATAGGAATGCTGCCTATCTCCTAACTATTCCCCATCCATTCCAAAATATACAGTAATACTTTACCCCGCCATAGTCTACTTATATTCCTTTATTTCAAATGTTCTGTGCTATCTTTTTATGTTATATAATCAATTTGGAATATTCCCTGTTTTTAGACTCCTGCTCAGGATTACTAATATATTCTCTATAGCCATCCACTAATTAGAATTCCTGAGTTGTAATATTTACAAACTTGTTAGAAATCTCTATCTAATAGAGAAGCAAGAAATTTTTGGACAAGACAACATCTGCCTTATTTTTAATACAATAATATTTTAAGTGTTTGTGTCAATGATTTTGCAAAAATGAGGTCATTTTTTCTGTTCTGTTTATATTTAGAGGGAAAGGTTTTTCAGCTATTTCTTCACTGTTTTAAGTGACCTAAATCTTTCAATTAAACATTATGGTACCATAATCATTCTGAAGGTTTCAGGGGGCCCGCTTGTAAAATTTTCAGGCAATATATGTAGCAGTAGGATCTCCGCTATGCCTCCTTAGGTCAGTGTCTCATTTCTTTAGTTTCCTGATGTCACTGTTCCTGAATTTCAATTTCAATGTTAGACAACCAGTTTGGTCTAGTGATTGGGCATTAGACCAAATAGAAATTAGGAAACTGTGAGTTCTAATCCCATCATAGACATGAAAGGCGGATGACTGAGCCAGTTGGTCTTTTTCAGCCCATTATGTCATACTCAGACAACAAGTTGGTTGGCCAATTCCTATTGGAACCAATGGATTAACGTTTGATTGCTTAAAAAAATAGTGGACCCTTTACTTGCAGGAAAGTGCAAAAAAGAAAAGAAAAAAGTCAAGGTTTGTCAATTTGATGCCTTATTCCCATAATGTAATTCCACAAATTCTTTGCAGATAATTTCCTGCCCATTCTAATTACTGGCCTGCTCTAATCTCTCAGGTACTGCTATAATCAGTTCAGAAGGATTTAAGAAGCACAAGTCTATCCTTCTTAATTCGGGTTTTCCTAGTACTATATTTGTTAGAATTAGAATTATGACTGTTTTAGAGAGATGTGCCGCAACAGAGATACAGTATATAGTATGTAACAGCCAACAGAAAGCATATTTTAGATTTATTCTTTCAGAATAGATGCCTTAAATTAACTTCTCTTTATGAGTGGAAAATAAATTGATAACTTTGTTATAGTTCTTACATATTGTTATTTGCAAGATTTATTAGATTTATATTCCATCTTTTTTTCCAGATCCTCAAAGCAACATATATAATATTCCTACTTCATATTATTGCCCACAGCAATCCTATGAAGCAGATTCAGCTAAGAAATAGCAAGTGGTTCAGACAATGAACTTCTGTGGCTGAAGAAAAAATGAAATCTGAATATGTTACCGAGAGTGTATGCCTGTGTACCATTCAACAGAAATATTTATAAACTGCATAAGAAAACTTGAGCTTCTACTTTTCAATGATGTACCAGAAAAAGTTAAGTTGTTAAAAGCAGATAAACTACTCAATATTTTATGGACTGGTAACTTTTACTAAATTCTGTATAGACAATGCTGTTATTTAATGCAGAAAAAAAGATGTAATCTTAGTGTATACCCCAACTTTCTTATTTTCATAAAATCCAAATAGTAAAAATATGTGTTGTAAGGAGCAGAGATCACCATTCCTGCAGGAAAAATGTTAATTACATATGCATTAGATTTATAACTCTCTCATTCTGGACTTTTCAGACAAATACGGAGTTCTCAACTATGTTTCCAAACCGATGGTGCTTAACTCCCAGGCATTGTATGGCTATTTTTCTTCTCTCCATATGCACTTTTTAAGTGAAGAGATGATGATGATGATGATGATGATGATGATGATGATGATGATGATGATGATGATGATGATGATGATGATTGTTACTGTTATTATTTTATCCTGCATTTCAAGGCAGCAAATGTACCTAACACACTTACCTCTTATTTCCCCCACAAAAACCTCCCTGTGAAATAGGTTGGGAATGAGAGAGAGTGGCTGACCTAAAGTCACCCAGCTGACTTTCATGCCTAAGAGGGGCCTAGGACTTCTAGTTTTGAGGCCAGCACATTCACTGCTACACCAAACTGGCTCTGACTACATATGAAAGCAAAGCAGTAAGAAAATAGCGGGTGATTACAAAAGATGAAGTGTCCGGATTACCACATATAAAAATCCTTCAATGAGCCAGGAAGCAATGATATTCCTCCCATCCTTTGAATAGACTTGAGTCAATTTAATTTCTGCAAGTGGTTTCATTATGTGCCCCCTGGTCATATCATTTGCTCTGGGGATTCACTGAGAAGAGATATCTAAAGCAACCAATATTACAGACTTTCTTATTTTATTTGAAATAAACACCACAGAATGAAATATGCTTGTGGAGAAATGTACAGAAAAAGTTACTATATTCATTTTCTATCCCCCCTCCCCTCAATACACCAATAAGATAAGCAGTAACCTAAGAAACATAATACCAAAAATTAACATCTTCTTAATAGAACTGTTTAGTCCCCTCCACTTCCCTGTGTGTCTCCCCCCCCCATCCTTCCTCAGCAGTGACCCAGGCCTTCCCACAACTAGTTCTTAATGTAATTAGGCCTTGAAGAAGCAGTGACGAGAAGCAGCAACTCACTTGGCATGAGAAGCAGCGACACACTTGGCATTCCCACCATTTGTCTCTAAACTGACCAAGCAGCTATAGCATTGGCATGCTGTAGCCATGCAAATCCTGGACAACAGTCAGAACAGAGTGTTATCTTTGGACCACAAGACAAAGCATCTTGCTCTCAGGGCAGCCAGGAGACAGACATCCACCTGCTCTCAATAGGCTCCCCACTTCTTTTTAAGGAATTCAGAAAACCAGCCTTTCATGACCCCCTAATCCATGAGATCCCCTACCCCCACTGCCCAGCACCCTTCTCTCTTTCTTACTGTAGATACAATACATGGGCTTCTTCTGGAACGCGGCATCCTCGGCTCTTAGCTCAGCCCTTTTTCCTCCGGGACCCAGGACGCCCACACATGCCTTTGTTCTTGGGTCCTCCCCCCCCCCTTCACATCTTGGGCCCAATGGACCAGACCCCTCCCAGCAAGAGCTCATGCATCCTGGGCCGTTCTCACCTTGCCGACTTGGGGGCGACCTCCACTTCAGGGCAACCTGACTCACTTCTGGATCCAGCCATGCCCAAACCTCGGGACCGCCTCCATCACTGCCAGCCCGCCCTCTGGGGTCCCTTCTTCTTGATCCTCCTCTTCCTCCTCTTTTCCATCCTTTCTTTTCCCCGCTTCCTCTGCGCCGGTCTCTCTTTCCCTGGTTCTCTCTCCTCCTCCCCCACCCCCACACCCCGTGTGTGTTCCTCTACCCCGCTTAGCCTGCGTCCTTCAGCTCGTCGCCCCTTGCTCGGTCTTCGGCCTTCAGCAGCATCTCCCGGCTTCCCATGCCGACTCCGGAGGTCCAATAATTCTCCCGAAATCCCCCGCGCCGTTTTATTACTCGCAGGCCGGCTCAGCGGTTCGCCTATAATAATTAAACAGTGCTGCGGCGGGCTTTGGAGACCGCCCGGAGCAGATTCGATGGCGCTTGGAAATGGACAGCTGGATTCCCGGATTTCGACGCGGCGTGATGTCTGATTGTTAAAGCCAGTCCCTGGATTTCCAGCTTTCTGTATGCACGAAGTGGCCGATTGATCGGTTGATTTATTGCATGCCATCAAGTCGGTTTTGATGCCTAGCAACCACATTGAATTATTTTCTTCATGACGATCTATCTCTAACCTGTTTTTTGAAGTCTCAAGGATGCACTAATTTCCACTGTAACTGGGTTATCCTCTTTTCTGTTCCTCCGTTTTTCCCAGTATTCGAACCTTCTCTAGAAATAAAGATCTTTACGTAAAGGTCTCTGAAGTAGAATAATTTAAGCCTGATCATTTGTGCCTTGACTGAGAACTCTGTGTTGATGTGTTCAATGAGCCACTTATTTTATTTTCTTGGCTGTCCAAGTATTCTCAGGAATCTTCCCCAACATCAAAATGCCAATACTCTTCCTATCTTGCTTTTTCAAAATCCAACTTTCATTCCCATAATGTGCCACAGAGAATAGGACAGAATACAATGGCTTGCACCGCTTTGATCTTTGTAGGTATAGCTTGTTGTTAGTTGCAAAATCATGTCAGACCCAGTGGTGGGATTCACTTACCTTGGCTACCAGTTCGCAAATGTAAGTGCACTTGCTCACTACACACCACCTTCTGAGCATGCACACCACCTTCTGCACATGCAAAGAAGATAACGCATTATGTCGGGGTGGGCAGGCAGAACCTCCAGCAGCCGCCACTACTGGTTCACCAAAACTGCTAAGAACCGGCAGAATACCACCACTGATCCAACCCATCGTGACCCCATTGACAATGTTCCTTCAGGCCTTCCTGTCCGCTACCATCCTCCGGAGTCCATTTAAGCTCATGCCTGCTGCTTCAGTGACTCCATCCAGCCACCTCATTCTCTGTTGTCCTGTTCTTCTTTTGCCAATCTTTCCCAGCGTTATGCTCTTCTCCAGTGAGTCCTTCCTTCTCATTAAGTGGCCAAAGTATTTGCGTTTCATCTTCAGGATGCCATTTGAATAGCTTTTTCAGGCCTTCATAGTTACTGTGTGTATGGGGAGGGGAACAACATGAAGTTGCTTCTCCCTATTATTACAACATTTTTTCAGAATTTAATAGACATAGTTTCATGTGGGGGCTTTAAATTCATTGTCAGAGTAAGTTAGCGGCAAAAAATTGAAGCTACTCTTTGTAGTTCACTTGCTCTTTTATATTTAAAGAAGTTACATTTATGGTGGGGGAAGTGAATGTCCTGTAATTCTGGGACAGTTTTTCCCAACCTGCTGTGGTTTGTCATTTAACAACTGGCAAATAGTAGAGCAAGGAAGTCTGTCCATATTTCATGAATCTGCACAAACTCTAAGCCATTTTTCAGGCTATGCTATATTGTACCTTGCAACTGCTGAATTATATTTTGAATAATCTTTCAAAACCAAAGCATTTTGATTATATAGCTTCTTTTCTTTTTTGCTAAGGTGATGTACCCTGAGATCCTCACATAAAGCACATTTTCATAAATTAGAGATCTTGAACCAGTGGGGTGAAAAGTGATTGTAGGTTATACTGTCAAATTTATTGAGACATGTTCATATACTTTAAGCACTTAGTTATTCAAAGTTGTTTTCTTTCTTGTTCCATAGAACTTCAGAATTGGAAGGGACCTTGGGGGTCTTTTAGTCTAACACTCTGCTCAAGCAGAAGATTCTATACTATTTCAGACAAGTACCGCAGCTGTCCAGTCTTTTCTTAAAAGCCTCCAACTTTCAAAGGCAAACTGTTCCACTGATTAATTGTTCTGTCAGGAAATTTCTCCTTAGTTCTAGGCTGCTTCCCTCCTTGATTAGTTTCCATCCTTTGCATCTTGTCCTGCCTTCTGTTGCTTTGGAAAATAGCAATAGCACTCAGACTTATATACTGCTTCACAGTGCTTTTACAGTCCTCTCTAAGCAGTTTACAGAGTCAGCACATTGCCCCACAACAATCTGGCTCCTCATTTTACCCACCTGGAAGGATGGAAGGCTGAGTCAACCTTTAGCCTGGTGAGATTCCATCTCCCAAATTGCAGGCAGTAGCCTACAGTACTGCATTCTAACCATTGCTCCACTGCCGCTCTAAATAAGTTGATTGCTTCTTCTTTATGGCAGCCCCTCAAATATTCGAACACTTCTAACATGTCACCCATAGTCCTTCTTTTAACTAGGCAACATATACCCAATTCCTGCAACTCTTCTTCATATATTTTAGCCCCCCCCCCAATCATCATTGTTGCTCTTCTCTGCAATTTTTCCAGAGTCTTATATACAGTGAAAGCATTTTTACAGTTGAATTTCTAATGCATATGATTATCATGGCAGACAAAGAACTAGGAATACTCAGGACACTGTAAATTTTATTGACATTCTTTGTTATGTTGTGCATGGTTCATTCACTCAGGTTGTCCCAAAAGTGCTTTTTCAATAGGCAACTGGACTTTCTATTTTTTTTTAAAGTCCAGTTGCCTCTTGAAAAAGTATCTTTGGGACAACCATGGCCTCAATGACTGAGAATCTCCATAGACGTTCACTCAGGTTACGGTTCCTCCTAAGGCTTAGGATCTGTAATGGAATGTGTGGGTAACCTTGTGACTTGAGGAATGAGGGGAAAAGGCCTAAGAAATAATCAGATAAAAGAGGCAGGAGCCCAGTGGCTTACGAGTCAGAGAGAGACACTTAGGATGGGTCCGCTCTCATTTTTCTAATAGTTAAAAGTGGCAACAGAAAGTTCATACTTGGAAGATTTTATGTAGTCTTACCATAAATTTTATATATTTACAAAAGATACTTTCCATCATTTTTATTAGGTCACAATATGTGTATTTGTTACCTAACAAAAATGATGGAAAGTACCTTTTCATAATTAATTTCCAGCGATGGATTGATTAAAAAAAAGTAAGTTATTTTAAAGTATTATGAGTCTTCCAATGTTAATGAATAGCTTGAGAATTAGTGAAGTGTCAACTGATCAATTCATTTGAACACCAAGATTTTGGGTGTGTGCAACCTAAAAAACTCAAGGTCATCTGATTTTGGATTTCTTCAGAAGAAAAGCAACTAAGGTTTGTAGGGTCATTGTCACTTTACAGGAATTCATTCGTTCAATATTCATTTATTTCTAGTGTGGAGGTTCTGCTGCATTTCCAGCCTTAGCATGATACCCAAAGCTAAACTGCTTCCAGTAGGGGTAACCTGGCAGTGTTAATCAACCTTATGCTATAGAAGAATGGGGTTTTTTAGCTAAAGACAGGAAAGGGCTAAAAAAGCATCGATTTTGAACCACTCTTTTCAGCTATACAGTATAGAGATAGGCACAAAAGCATCATTTACAACTCCAAATTGATCGATCTGTTTACTTACAAGCTCCTCTCAAAACAAATCCATTATGCACAGATGAAACACAGAATCCAACAAGACAGAAATGCCCCAGGGGAATTGTTTCTCCACCCCACCCCACCCCATGGTGCTAATATCAATTTCTCTTTTGCAGAAACAAGTTATGCTCTTTCAGTATCTTTCTGGAGATTCCAAACCCCTTTTCTCTCTGCATCTGTGGCTTATTAGAGCATATTCATGTGCATTCTGTGCCCCAATGGATAGTGGGCTCTTGATGTGATCTGCTGCAAATACAAATGTAACTCCACTCTACTAGAACAGCTCAAGCCAGAGCAGAAACAGGCAGTCTCTCTGAAGACTGCATGCTTTTGAAATTTCAGGAAAACACAAGGAACCAAATCTAAACTGAGATGGAGGTTAAAAGGCAGAAGAAAGTTGCCATCCTTCATCTCAGATGATGGCCATATTCACCCAAATGTCCACTGTAGCATGGCCCCTGAGCACTGGGATCATCCAGCCTCTTTCTCTGATCTTTGCAGGTGTCCAGAACCTGATTCATGCGGGTGCCCATCTTTCTCTCATCATCAGAACATCTTTTAAGTGGGACTGGATACTCCATGGCCAGCTGCCCTGCGTTTCCTACGCCCATAGCCCATGGGGTCATTTGTTCCCCTGTTGTTCTTGCGGGATTCTTCTTTTTGGTTATTGCCCCCATAACGGTAAAGTAGATTGGCCAGGTTCTGGACTTGGCAAGTGCCAAGATGGCATCCACGGGCAGGAGGGGAAGCTAACAGCTGCCGGGGCACACGGTGTCCAGGAACAGAGCTGCTGGAAAAAAGAGAATAATAAGAAAATGCTGGGGTCTCAAGGAGAGTGCTACACTGAACCCAGAGCGCCCACACTATGAATGTCTTTAAAATGGGAAGAAGCAAGAACTAATTATTCAGTTCTTAAACTTGGTATTGGGTGTGATTAAGGTTTGAAATCACATTGTCATAAAGCTAGGAGCAGCTTTTAACTCAACCAAGTTATTGGCCTATGATTCTCAGATCCCATTTTGGAATGAATGAGGCGGGATTTGGGAATAGGATGGGAACAAGAGCAGGGAGTTTGTATGAAGCTTTATCATCATTCCCATCCTAAACCAATTCCCGCAAATCAGCATAAAATCATGCTGCCCAAATCCAAGCATTTTTGTTAGAATGTTAGAATTGTTGTATGAAGGAAGAAATGAAAGACTTCTGGGAAAGTCCTCCAGATGTCAGAGGACTCCATCA